GGGGGGGGGTAACTCCCGTACTGGAGCAGCTAAATCCGTAAGAGATACACACGTTGGTGCAGTTTTTGTGGATTTGTTTGCAGATAAGAACCTGATGTCTAGTGGATTGTAGTGTACTGGCAGTCCCGGGTATGTGTGTTGCGTACTATGACGCGAGAGCAAGGCAGCTAGGCTTTGTGTCTAAAATCATCTGAAGCAAGAAACGCTCTTGAGCCACAATGCAATGGCAATAATATAACATTGCAAAGAAGGGGAGAAGGTAAAATGGTTCAATAACCGAACACAAAACAGACACAAATTGGTTTTGACCTTCAGCATCGAATGACTGTTTCAAAGCTCTTAGCAATAGCCATTGAGGACAACAACATTTGGATCGATTCCGAACATTGTAACATGGTCAAAAGGGTCACTCGCATTTGTGACTCGGACACGTTGGATTTGTCGCTGTGTTGATATGAATGCACAAACTGATTGCAACTGTGCCACCACGGCTCTGAGACTATGACTTTCCAATACATGCAACATGTTCAATCCATATCTTCAAACCGCTTCTGAACGTTTTGCGCATGTGCGTTTCGCATTGCGGGCATCTAACAGCCCGACGCATGCGAAAAGTTCCCTTTTTCTTGGTGGCAACTGGGCCCTTAATTGCTTTCCGCCATCGGATCGAATTTGCGCAGGTCGGGAGGCAAACCCAACGGGATCGCTGAGCACCGAGGCTTGTGACGGCGGTTCTGCTGAGTTTCTCAAATGGTTTAGCCGTGGATGATCCACATGTGCATAGTACCAGTAAAGCCAATGCCAGCTGACACCCAGCATTTTGCTCAGGTGACAGGGTCCAACAATCGGCGCTGTGGCCAACAACCGATGCCAGGGCCCAAGGAAGTTTAGCAAGACCTTCCGCAGTGTTGGAACTACTTGAGCTTCGCTGCTGCTTCGGAGTACAAAGCCAACTCACAAGCTAGAACACGCCAGAGGGGCGTAGAAGCGGGCCAAACATGTGGCATTGTGAATGAAACTGGTGCTTTGGCAGTTGCGCAAACCACGTTGGTCGATAGGCAGGTAAGGCTTAGCACATAGATCGCATGGTGTTGCAAGTTGCACGTTAGCGCAAGCGACGTTTTGGCACCTCCAGCGCTGTTTGATATCAGCTTTGGCACAAGTCGTATGAAGTGACATGTTAGTCGCTTGGTTTAGCCCAATTGGTCGCACAAATCACATGTTGCTGGAAGGGATAGGGGGACATGCTTGCCAAGTGGCCAGGGGTGCAGCTATGTGGCTGTCCTCAAATCTTTGGGAAATATGTCTGTGCTCAGCCAATTGAAGGCTTCTTGCAGGTATTGGCTCAGACTTCCATTTCCCGGGTTCAGTGCGTAATGAAAGCATCCAGATTGCTACTTCGAAGGATTCACATCACTTGCACTTTCATTGACACTGCCCCTGTTGTCAAGTATGACTCTTAAAGCCTTCTGAGCTTCATCATGAAGCGATCGCTTGATTGACCGCAGAATTTCGGATACCAATTCACCAAGGCCTGTATCCTGGTCAAAAGATTGGTCCCCCCTGCTAGACTCAAGAGGAAATGAAACCAACAAAAAACAAGCTCGCCAACTCAGAGCGAAAGACTGGGAAATGGCAGGCAAGCGACCGCTACAGTTCTTGTGATCGAGCGTTGGAAAATGGAGGTTTGCCATGAGCTTTCGCGCAGATCACATGGTGCTACAAGCGGTGCTTTCAAGCAAGTGATGCTTGCACATGCAACATTCTTAGCAATAAGCGCTAGCACAATTGTTGCATTGTTAATTACACAATACAGTGTGAGAGCCAGTGATGCTTTCACCCCTTCGACACGTTTAGCCAATGGGGTTTGCACGGATCACACGTTGCTGCAACTGGCACGAGAGCAAAACCTTCACGCGTGCACCTTGAACATGTTGATCAACAAGCTCGAGCACAGATTTCCTGCTGTGAATGAAGCTTCAGGGTTAGGGATGCTTTTGCAGCTTCGATGAAGTTTTGCTACAGGTCACATTTTGTTGCACATGACACGTTTTTGCGCAAGTGAGGCTTTGGTGCCTTCAACACGTGTGGCCAGAAGCTTTCACGTAAATCACATGTTGCCACAGTGACACAATGTCGGACTCTGTCGCAAGAGGATCTTGACATGTACTGTAGCAATAGAGTAAATTTGAGCACGGGTTTCAGGTCTTTGCAAATGACAGTTGAGAGGCAGTGATGCTTTGGCACCTTCAACGCTTGGAGCTAGAAGACATGTCTCACATGTTGTTTCGTGTGCGAACATTCGCGTGATTGCCTTCGCACCTTGAACGCGTTTAGCCAAAATCTTTCACACGGCTCATATGTTGCTACAAGTGGCACGTTCGCGCAATTGACGCTTGCACTCACAACGCAAGCTTGAGCGCAGATTCATGTTGCGTTGGCACCTTAAAGCACATTGTCATCACACGCTGCTACGAGTGACACTGCAGCCGATTTGGCAGATTTCATGCTGTTACACATGACGCTTGAGAGCCAGTGATGCTTTGCCACCTGCAACGCGTTGAGCCCTAGGCCGTATACCACTTGTTGTTAGCAACAGAGAAGCCATTGAACTTCGAGTCAGATGTTGTGACAATCTCCTCAGGATGGACCAATCCAGAGTGTTGCTGTATCCAGGGTGTTGCTTCTTCCAAGCGTTCCTGTGTACAGAATGTAAAAAGGCGGGAAACTGCGTGACTAAGGGTCCTGGGACTGGAAATGCGACACTTAAAGGAACTTGGCTGGCGTTTGATACGTGAATTCAGATGCCATCTTCAGGGACTCCACAGAGCAGTGAATGCATATGCTCGCCCCAGGTGAGGCTTCTGAAAGCTCGGGCGCCGGAGGCTTGGATCCTAGAAGTTCTGCTAACGTCATGGAAAGCAGAACGGAGAGGGCGGTATTTGAAACTGCTGCAGTTGTATGATGCAGAGCAAGCTGACATTTCGGCTGACGCATCGAGCCATTTAAGGGGCGCAACATTCCTTCGACTAAAGTATGACATCGAGGTGGATTTTGCAGCATGCAAACATGTGCAGGCCAGTCAGTAGTGGAAGGCTTTATCACATTTTTGGCACCAGCGCCTTGACTTGAACCTGCCTCCAATCTTCACTTGGCGCCATGCCTCCGCCGCCGTGCGCTCCTCCGCCACCGCCTTGTGCTCCGCCGCCACCGCCCTTTGCACCGCCGCCCCCGCCAGCGCCGCCAGCGCCGCCCATGTCTGCCTACACAGAGGCAGATCTGAGGGCAGCGCAGTCGCTGCAGGGGCTGGTGCCACTTTTGGAGGTTCAACCTTTGAGCAGCTGCCTCAGCTGTCAAACCTGCGCTGCCACGCGTTGGCCCTTAAATTGTTGCGCAAAGGCAGTTGTTGCGCAAAGGCTTCCTCGGCGCGGGCTGCTTTGGCTCTGTATACGGTGCTGTCATGGATGGCGCTGCGGTGGTGGCCACGCGCTTAGCGTTTGCAGTTGAACGGCCTTTCCTAAAAGTATCCTCGACATATTTTCTTGTTTGTTGCTGTTGGTGCATGAACACATTCAAGAGGACATGCGCCCTGTGCAACAGCGCCGAGTGGACGATTGCCTGTTTCAGAGAGGAACCACCGCCCACCTCGGCAAGCTTTGAGACAGTTGGCAACCATTTGGAAGCCCAACTTTGTGTGTGTGTGGCACAGGTTTGATGCTTTCAGCAGGTCTCCAGTTTACACTTTCCAGGCTGGTCTTTTTGGCGGCATTTTCTCTGCGGCAAAGATGGACACCTATCCATGATTTCATGCATGCGCGCATCAGGATTACTGTAGCAGCTAGCAGTCTCAATTATTTGAATAACAAAGCAGCAAGAAAGAACATCATTGGGAGGAACTGGCCAAAACGGTGGCCGGCACAGTCCAAGCACGACGGAAGATCCACAAGCGAGCAGGCAACATCTTGCCAAATTTTGCTGAACAGCGGCCTGCTTCATCAGCAACGCCAGTCTGCAAATCCAGAACAAAAACACGTACTTGAAAGGAACCCGCGCAAGATGTCCAGGTTGCATGAACTGCGGATAGATTTGTGCGAATTGACCACGCACTCGTAAAAAAGGAGTGCAGAGACGCGCTTGATAACTTCCAGGATAAAAGTTGTGTGGAACAGTGACCATGTGCGTGTATCAAAACTGTTGGATCCAACGCAGCCAGAAGTTTTTCTTTAGCAAGAGCCACACACACACACCCACACACACACACACGTCAGAAACGCTATCGTTGTACCAACAAGAGTGCATCAAGTGCTATTTATATCGAGCTACAATGAAATGGCCCAGCTCAACGTAAGTCTCTTACAATGTCGGAATGTAGAACTTGACAAGGCCAGTCAGCAAGTTCTTTTTTGTGATAAACGTGCACAGGCGGGCTAGAGCCAACAGCGTGTTGCGTTTCGGGTGCAACTGGTCATGCTGGGAAACAAACGAGGCAGCAAGTCATCCATGTTTTGCCGCACACATCCTAGCAGCGTACCAGGGTATCGCCGCAGGTCGGTGGAGACATGCTAATTTTGTGTCCTGTTGAGGGTGGATTCACACAACGCCACCAGGGCTTCTTTGAAAGGTTCAGCCCATTATATCGCGTCTAGGTCTGAGGTAGAACGTGGCAGTTCCAGGTGTTCAAGCTGCTCCAGCGTTCCAAGGGCTTCACCCTTCTGGCGGGAGTTTAAGGAGCCATGTGGGAGTGGCAGTAGCAGTGAGATGCTTTCAAGGGCCGATGCCTCTTAGGTCAAGGCACCACGCGCTGGCGGCGGCCCCTTCGGCCCCGGGGCCAACCTCAGGCGGATCTGGCTCAAATACAAAGTGCAAGGACTTTTGGCCTTGCCACCAGTTTGGGTTTGCTGTGGCAAGGGGATTCGGGGTCCTTCAGGCAACTGGTGGCTGACGCAGAAGTTGCGTCTCAGCTTTCTCACCCGAACATCGTGCAGCTGCTCGGGTGGGCTATGCTGCCCAGCCCAGTCCTGGTTTGGCCCCTGCTCCCCCGCAGCTTGCTCTCAGTGCTGAAAGACAGGCTGGCTGCGTTACTACTTGGTGGAACACGTCACGTCACCTGTGTAGCAGTCATGACAACTGGCCATGGTTCAAAACCAATGGTACCATTCTGGGGATAGGTGCACCATTCATTTTAGAACCTATTTTAGTGGGGGTTGGGATGTTCAGGGTACGATTTGGGTTTTGACCCATGGCCAACTGAAAGGCTGCCCGCGCCGCTCGTGGAGAAGCTGGGGGAGGAGGTGCTTTCGGCCGTGGAGTACTGCTGCGAGCGCCGGCACCCACTGTGGGACAGCCCGCCCTCTGAGGCCGCAACTGGTTTGTTTTTTTTCGCCGGGTGGGGGCTCGCAACCTTTCGCAATCTATATCTGGGGTGGGTTCTTGAGTTTTGTGGGTTCACAGTTGCAAGCTCTCAGTTCGGCTGCCTTGGGCTTTGTGAACCTATCGAGATGGATGGCATGACACCAGTAAAGCCAGCCTAGCCGGGGCGCTGAAGTTTCACAAAGAAATAACGCTGCTGTGAAAATTGAAGTGCTGCACTGAACTACTGCCTTTTTCCTGTCTACATGTTTGCTTGCCTTTTCGGTTCTCAGTTCACTTTGCCTTTCGGTTGTCTTGTTTGTCTGTGATTGCTTTGTCTCTTCTTTCGCCTTCTCCTCTCCCATCCTCTTTTCTCACTTGTTTTCTTCCTTTCTCTTCTCTCCTCTTCTCTTCACTTCGCTTCTCTCTTCTGTTCTCCGCTACCCAGCCCATCGGTTCTAGCTAGTGCTGACTTGCTAGCTCCTTGTCCGTTTAGCCAGCTATCTTGCCTGCTTTGCTATGAATCTGTCCAGCTTTCTGCTTGTCTAGCTTGCTACTTGTCTAGCTAGTTATTTGTCTGTCTGCTTACTGCTGCCTTACCGGCCAACCATTTGATTGTCTAGCTGTCTATCTTTCTAGCTATCCATGCTTCTTTTGTCCAATTCGGCCACCTACCTATCGCTGTCTTTGTGTTTTGCTGCTTGCTATCTGTCGACCTATCGTTCCCGTCTGGCTTGCTATGTGTCTAGCAAGGTGTGTCTTGAACTGTCATCTGTCTAACCATTGTTTGCCTAGCCATCCATTTGCCTAGATATCTATTGCGATCTATCTGCCTAGCCTTTATTTGTCTATATGTCTATCGAGCTATCTTTCGATGGCGTTTTGTTCGTCTAGCTATCAGCTAGCTAGTGTCAAGAAAGCTTCTGCTTGGTTACTCACCTGCTACAAACTGTTTTTCTGTTTGTCTGTCTATCTGTCTAGCTATCCATTTGTTTAGCTATCTGCCTGTTCAGCGAGCCAAGTTTCTATCTATCCATCTATCTGCCTATCGGTCTATCTATTTGTCCATTTATGTGTGTATGCCATCCATGTTTCTGTTTGCTTGTTTGTCTGTCCGTCTGTCCGTCTGTCCGTCTGACTGTCTGTCTGTCTGTATGTCTGTCTGTCTGTCTGTCTGTCTGTCTGTCTGTCTGTCTGTCTGTCTGCTTAGTTGTCTATCTCTAGTATCCGTCTATCTGCCATATATTTATATATATATCCATGTGGCTGTCTATTTCGCTCTTTGCCGATGTGGCGACATGAAACACCCCTAAACAACCGCGAGTGTTCAAAGTCGACCCGACCTAAGTCCGCAGAGGGGGGTTGCACCAGCGACATGAATATCGCAAACACAACCACAAGACGGTTCGCCCAGTTGAAACCTGACAATCAGTGGGGCGTCACGTGCCGGGCCAGGGCTCGTGACTCTGCCCCCTCCAAGACCGCTTCCATCAAATGTCGCGACCAAGGGTGGCTTGCCCAGTTGCCGAAGAACCAAATTCCTACAAGGGGCCACGTGTTTCAGGTTTTCTGGCTTCTGTCGCAGGCAATGCATGTCCCAGTCACATTGCAGTTGGATTAACAGCACGGAAGTCATTGTTGTTGCACTTCTTTTGAATAGGAGCCCATAATCACGAAAGCTAGCTTTAGCTAGCTGAAGTTTCTCCTTGCGTAAGCAAGGAAAGATTGATTTTTTCAATTATTTGAGCCGAAAAGATTGAAAAACATCAATTATTTAGACCCCCCCCCCCTCCCCCCCCCCGTGTCTCAGGCTCGATTCCTCCTTGGTCCACCCCTCCCCCCGGGCAGTGGCTCAGTGTTTCAGCAGTCTCGGTTTGCCCGTTTTGGACTTGGTGCTACGAACTTTTACATGTTCCACCGATTCAGCTTGTTCATTTGAGACCTCAGTCTTCTCAGTAAACCACCTCGCAAGAATCTTTGCACACGCAGCATGCAGAACCCAGAGGTGCTTTAAGACAGCTTCTGACGCCTCTCGTTGTTTTCATTTTTCAAGGTTTGCCACGCCACCATGTGCGTTTGCGTGTCGCATCCTACGAATCTTGCCGGGCCTCTCGTTGTACACAAGCTACCTTTGAATCCACTCTGTCACCGACCCATCTCATGCAACAACTGCTAGCTTTCGTTCACCCGCTCCTCAAGTTCCGAGCTATGAGAAGTTAAAGCGCGTCGCGACATGTCATGCATCATTGGAGGCTCTGAATCTCTCAGTTGTAATTGGTCCGAAGCTGTGTTCAGGCACGTCTCGACGAGCACGGCAGTCTGGTCTTCAGCGACTGCTTCATGAGGTGCAGAATGCCCCCCCTCCCTAAGAAAGTTTTGGCATTGCATGCCAAGAAGCCCATGCACCGATTCCCGCGAGCTCCTTCAAAGCTGACAGCATCCCTCAAAATGTTCACAGCCATTCTTGCTCCAGGCCTTCCGGAAATACCGGCAATTTGGCATCTTTGCCACCTGCCCTTCGATGTGGAGGACCAGCCCGCGAGACACTGTTAACACGGCTAGGCCGGCGGCATGTAGGAAAGTCGCTTCGAGAAGTTCAGAAAACTTTAGCTGGGACCGGCTCGCGGTGCGGGATGTTTGAACCGACGCCAGGTGCAAAAAGCACAGCGATTGCTGTCAACCGCCATGTTGCGGGGCATCATTTGCTGTGCCTGGCGTTGGCATGCACGGAGACCGCCTCAGAGCCCGTGATGCGCCTGGCCAACGGCGAATCAAATCCAGAGGAGCCTGCGTTGGGGATACGGTGAATTGCCGTTGAAGGGGCCTGCCACGTTTGATCCAAGCATGTTCACAATGTTCAATAGAGCCTGTGGCGTTCTTGGCTTTGAGGAGTGCTTGCATGAGCTGCCGGAGGGTGATGACAAGACTCGCGTCACCAGGTGAGCAGCGTGCAATGAAGGAGCAAGGGGTGGTCAGCCCTATGGCGCATACATTTGGTTGTCTCATGTCCTGGTGGCGAGGGGAGAGGCAATGAATACGCAGGCTAGGCCCATGTGTGACGGGATCTGTTGGCAGGTACTTGCGCCAGGGTGCTGAAAGGGCTCGTGGCCTGCTCTGCTCCATGGAGGAAATGGTGAGCTTCCTGTGGCCGGCTTGAACCTCAGCTCTGCTCAGCTTTGGCAATGGAGATGCATATGACGATGCTGGTTGATTCCTGGCCCTGCAAGGTTTGCCTGAGTGGCCTTCAGAAGCCACCGCCGTGTCACTGCGGAGACTTCCTGTGAAGAACTTGCAAAGGAACAAAAACATTGCCTGGGCTGCAAGGGCATATGCATGCAGCATGCATCTTGATTTACGAGCTGCCATGCCATTCTTTCCTTGCGCTTGGTTTTGTTTGATCCGCGCTGAGGCGGTGGACCTTTGTGTCCTGGCAGCTTCGGTGGGAGCCAGGCCTTTTAGGCAGGGACGAGACGTTTATGCTGGGGGCTGGGGGGGAGGGAGGGGAGAGAGCCTCAATAAGCCCCAAACAAGGCCTTATTAAGGGCTTACCAAGGGATTATTTGGGCTCCCCCCCCCAAGCCCCCATGAGTTTACAGTTTTTTTGTATGCGCATGTTGTTCAATCATCCAGTTCCTTGGCGTCCCTTGCGCTACTTTGGTGAGTTTGGCCAAGAGTGCTTCGAGTATTTCGTTTTTGTTTCTTGTCGTCTTCCATTTGCATCGTTGAACAGGTGTTTCAGTCGCCTTTTGCATGCTAAAAAGGCAATGCAACTTCTCGAATGGTGTGCCCCACCTTGGGAACAAGACAGAGAGATAGAGAGAGAGAGAGAGACAGAGAGACAGAGAGGGTTCTTCCAGGCCTGACATTCCTGATGCGAAGAGCTCTGCGGCGAGATCATGCGAGATCATGTGGATTTCACTGAGGCGTTGCATGGTAAACTTCCAAAGGACATTAGCATGTGTTCAGCATCCCGTGCAAAAAGGTAAAACACATGCACCAAGTATTCCCAACAATGCGAGTGCCTCAGTACGTAATTGGTCGAGGCGGCACAAAACAATTTGGAACTGTAAAAAGCGCGCTTTTGGATCCTAAAGCCAGGCTTTTCCAAGTTGCTTTGGCCCGACTTGATTCAGAGTTTGCGGGCACCGGGGAGGTTAAATCGGGTTCAACGCTTACTCTAGGAGTTTCATTGTCAATTCAGAGAATTCAGTTTCAATGACCGCCAAGCGACATGCTAGGTATATCCCGTAGGCCCCATGAATCATTCCTTTAATACATGGTTTCCCTTTTGCCCTATTTGAGGCAACACGTGTTGCGCAGTTCACACCCTCATAATGAAGCGGAGCTGTTTGGCGGGGCCCTATTTGAGCAAGCCTGAGCAGGGTTGTTTGCGGCCTGCAATGACGTTCATCCTCAAATGAGGACCAATAGAGTGTGTCCAAGGTGTGGGGCTCCAAACAAGACAGGATAGAAACCATGGGATCCTGCCAAGCGGGCAGTTTGGTTGTGGCCACCAAGCTGAGTACCTTGTTTGAACGGGTCCCTAGTTTGGATCGAATTCCAATGAACATTGGAGTCCATCAATAAGTCGGAAAGGGAGCTCCTCGCTTGTTTCGTAGGCTTGTTCAATGTCGCTTGGGTTCCTTGGTGATTTTTGCGGTCATTTGCCCCCTCGCCTCAATGTCCCCGGTAAATGCACCCTTCGTCATAGAAGCTTCGCTTCCTTGCTTAATCATAGCGCATGCAGCAATGGGATTGCCATGCCAGAGGGCCGGGGGTGTTTCCTAACATTTCAAGGTGGAGTGTTTTGAGAATAGGCTATACCGCAACGACCGTCCGAAAGGCGGTGCCATCTCAACATGTTTTATTCTTCGGTTGCCTTGACGCGTAAGCCCAAGCGGTCGGCATTTGCTTTCCAGACATTGGCCAACCCTACTGGACGAAGCCCGATGTTTCAAGCTCTGGGTGCTGTGAATGAAATATAATCTTGTCGGAAGCTATTAAGGGATTGTGCAAGTCCCAGACGAGATGTGCACCCATGTTGCATCTTTTCGCTTTGGCTATGATTTGTTTAATCCTTTTTTGTTTGTTTTTGTTTCGGCCTGGTCTACTGGGTACTCCTTGGAGGTCCAGAGAACCAGAACCTGGATGCATCGCCATGCGTGTAGGCATGCGACTCTGCACTTTCTGCGCATGCGACTCTGGATCTCGTGGACTCGGGATTTCAACAAATTGGGCCTTGGAACTGGAGTTATGAATTCCTGGCGCGCATGTGGACATGACTATGGCACGTGGGGCTTTGGCGTCCGTTCCCGCAGGTTTATTTAGGCAAATTCACTGCTCATGACAGGCGTGTTTAGGGTTTGGGTTGTCTGGGCTGCATTGGTGTGGAGCCAAGTCAGCTTTCAGCGATGCGCAAATAGCACTAGCAGCAAGCTGCGATGTCATCCCGTTGCCTGGGTGGATGTTTGCATTGTAAGGTAATGAGCCGCCAAAGGCAAAGCAGAGAGGAGCAGTATTAAAACTTACGTTATCCCTTTGTGCCCGCAACCAAACATGTGATAGTTGTCACCGAACCGACTTCCCTAATAAAACTGACAAAGCTCATGAACTTGACACAGAAAAAGCCTAAGAGATAGATGGTGTTCAATCCACCAAGTGCAGGGATTCCACGATGTGTGCGCCCCAAGTCTCGCGAAAATCTCAGAAGCCTGGCGTGTGCAGGCAAATGCTTCTCCGCTGAATGAGCGCGAGGATTCTTTGCGCCTTCCGAAATGTGAGCACGCGGCACAGCCAAGGGGTAGGGAGAAGAGTTATCAGGCTTTAGAACTGCCACAAAGTTACTGAACTCCGACTGTTCACAAATCACAAGCTTTTCCTGGCACACTTCTCCCAATTTCAAAGTCGCCTTTGCCGTCAAAGTGTCCGCATTGTGAGACTTAAGAGCCGATTCTTTTCAAAGGGGTCGACTGGGTCGCAGTTGGTACTGCTTTGTCTAACTGGTTTGGCGCACAGGAATTTGCACTTGTCCTCAACTAGCAGATTGTTTTGCTGCAAGACGCCCGATCTCTGGGAAAACGTTTTGTGATATGCTTCGTCTTCTGGTCGCATTGCAGGCGTCACCAGAGGCAGAACAAGGCCGGAGATCTTGAGAATGAAGCCAGTCTGCCACACCCCCAACAATGTTGAATGCTAAGACAAAAGGGCCAGTCCTTTGATTGGGGAGGATTGCCACGCGAGGGTAAAATCAGGGTAGCAATTGCGCTGAGCACATGACTTGTGGCATAAGGTTTGCTGGACAGACGGCTCATTGCAGCTGATGCAGGAAAGCTACCAATATTTTGAAATGATTATGCAGAGGCAAGGTTCAACGGACTTCATCCTTGCTGTTGGCTGTTGGGTCTGCAACGTTCAAAGGGCAATAGGAAGTCTGGCATTGCGAGGTTTCCATGTGGCTCTGGATATGAAGGGCTTCTAGATGCCAGAATCGAAAACTCAATTTGGCTTTGCCCTCGAACGTGGTGGTTTGCAGTTGGCTCCGCTGGGCTCAAAGCTGCCAGTTTCGGATGATTGTTGGCTTCCTGTTTGCTACCGGGTGTCTGCTAATTTCCGAGTGTTCGTGGGGTTGTTCTTTCATTTGGTGGTACCCCCCCACAAATTATCTTCGTTGGGCAGGTTCCCCACTAACATGGAGTCAACCAACCAAAGTGGAATGGTCCAAATCATTGGCCAACATCTATTTTGGCAGAAGGACACCTAGGGCAGGCACCCCCCTGGCCTCCAAACCACCAATCCAAACCACGAATTGGATTCGTGACCTGGTGGACTGGTGGACTGGTGTCTTTTTGATGCCAACTGGGTCACTCGGCATTTATGCGCTTCACATCTTGCAGGGCTTCGCCTGGCAGGTGCGCTGCGAGGGATATGACTAGATTCGTGCGTCTGGGGCATGTGCCCTAAATAGCAATGAACTTCAAATTGACAAATTCCCTCAAGCATTGTTGTGATATAAGTACCCCCATGAAAATTGTGTGCCCCAACGGGTTCCCGCTAAAGCATCACAGACACAACTACGTACCCTGCCCCCTTTTCACCAGGTACCGTGATCCTAGCTGACTGTGGGTCGTTTGCACCATTCCAGAGAGGCAGCTTCAGAGGATCACTTGTAGTTGAAGTGAATCACAGCACTTTCAATCCATCAGGCGAACCAACCAATGTATGCGCATGTATGCGCACAACATGAGGTTTCCGCAGCTGCATATCATATATGGCTGTCGGTAGTTAAATCAAAAGTTTCCACTTCAGTCGTATGTTCCCTTGACGATGAACGCACTCATGTTGTGCCGCAGGGTGTGCTTCATCAACTGCAGCTTCCCTTGATTGAACCACAAGCGTAATCATTTTGGGCATTCGGTTTATTTTCCACTGCGGGTTCACTTCAATAAGGCACGCAATCGACGTAATCCTTTTGGGCCATAGGGTGGCGGGTCCCGCCGGTGCCTTCAATGGCCCGGAGCCTCCAGATCAAACGCGGCAGGTGAGTCCCCGATTTTTCTTGGTTGACAGATGGCACCGGTATGACGATATGACCGTTAAACATGTTCTTAACCTCACCATCCTCACCAATGCAAAGTGCCTGGATGCTGCACGACAACATTCTTGTGGTTGTTGTCACGACCTGAAATATATTTTGACCTTTGAATCAATGATTGTCCCCTACTGACTACGAACTGTGCCAACAAGTTGAATTTGTTGAAGGGGATCAAAGACCGAGCCATTTTGGTTTTACTTTTTGGCCATCCATACC